ATAATGAATCGAATAACCTTTTTTGAAAATATCTTGCTGTAGCATTAAGGGTGAGGGACGAGGCCGCAATGTTTATTTTTTGATGGATAACATCCTGACCTCCGTTACGTTGATTCTGCATCACCACAACAGCTGCCATTAACCTGCAACTAAACGAGTGGTGAGACAGACTTAGATTACATGGTTTCAAAGTCTCCTCATTGAAAAATGTCCAGAAACTCTTTCTTACAAAATATAATCTTTTGTTTTTCATTCACGGTCTCATATTTTGACTGAGAATCTCTGGTCCTAACCTAATGTAACTAAAGCAAACCAAATCCAATCTAATTTAACCCAACTTTCAGACAACTGACTATCGTCTAGCAAGCTTGATCCTCGATTCTCAGTTATTTTCAGGATTGAAACCTTTAAGATGTAATTGTTAAGAAATATTTTACCTCAAGACCATCTCTTTTATTACCTAATATCAGCTTAATGTACTTTCTTAAGCACTATCATTATTAAATGATGTTCATGGAAGCGTGTATCGATACGGAAGGTTAAATTTTATTGTGTTTTAATAATTGTCCCTCGTGGCTAACGGCACAACAGCTAAAGAGATCAACCAGGTCGACATTCACTATCCTGGGTGAAAACAAGTATGCATCATCACCCTTGCAGAATCCTCTCGTAGAAATGCTTGTGAGTCAGGAATTACTTCATTATTTTAAAATCCCCTTTGAATTTAATGTTTTTGCGTCACGTCTCGGTCATAATGGGATTACAAAGGAGACCTTACATCTCCTGCTGCTGTTGCATCTTGCAACACCATGTTCTCAATGTCTCTCACTAAGAAGCTCCTCTCTGCGTAGCTAATGACATCAGCTTTTCATCTTACGAGCGGAAGCTCCTAATTAATTTTCCATTTGATGAGATGCTTTGGGGAAACCAGACGGATTATAGACAAACTAATGCAGGTTCTTAAGCAATATATATATATATCACAGTCAATGACATTTTACATGGTTTTCACGCTGTTATCGGTGTATTTCGTGTACGGCCGGCTTTCTTATCATGCAGCTCGGAGCAAGAAGGAATTTGTGAAAATTTAATCAGCAAGAACCAGATGTTGTGAGGTCTGTCCTTATGTTTATGCCTGTTTAATGTAGACAGATGCGTTCGTCGGCTTTTAAAAGATTAATCTCCGGAGTGTGGAAGATATTGCAGCATCTCTGGAGTGTGGGAGATCTTCCAGCATCCCTGTAGTGTGAAATATTTGATTGCATCAATATCGTAATGTATTTATGCATTCACTTACGAAATCTGTACATCTTTAAAAAATTATTATTTATTTATACTTATTAAGCAGTTTTCGATTTCCAAAGTTAACAAATCAAAGTTTTCATTGTTATAAATAACCATTTACTGTTTCAAAGCTCATAAACTGTTCAATATATGTAAGAAAAGCCGACAATGATTGTTGAGAGATGTATAGGTTTCGTAAGTAGTGTGTAAATGCTGGATGAATCCTGCTTCTGGAGTGCACAAGACTCCCGTACTTGTATTTTTACGAGTGCTCGTATTAATTTTTAATTTATGGGAAACAATGCCCCTGAGCGTCGTGCTAGGAGATACGATGTCTCTGAGCGTCGTGCTGGGAGATACGATGTCTCTGAGCGTCGTGCAGGGAGATACGATGTTCCTGAGCGTCGTGCAGGGAGATACGATGTTCCTGAGCGTCGTGCTGGGAGATACGATGTTCCTGAGCGTCGTGCTGGGAGATACGAAGTCTCTGAGCGTCGTGCAGGGAGATACGATGTCTCTGAGCGTCGTGCAGGGAGATACAATGTCTCTGAGCGTCGTGCTGGGAGATACGATGTCTCTGAGCGTCGTGCAGGGAGATACGATGTCTCTGAGCGTCGTGCAGGGAGATACGATGTCTCTGAGCGTCGTGCTGGGAGATACGATGTTCCTGAGCGCGTGCTGGGAGATACGATGTCTCTGAGCGTCGTGCTGGGAGATACGATGTCTCTGAGCGTCGTGCAGGGAGATACGATGTCTCTGAGCGTCGTGCTGGGAGATACGATGTCTCTGAGCGTCGTGCTGGGAAATACGATGTCTCTGAGCGTCGTGCTGGGAGATACGATGACCCAGAGCATCCTGCTGGGAGATACGATGTTCCTGAGCGTCATGCAGGGAGATACGATGTTCCTGAGCGTCGTTCTGGGAGATACGATGTCCCTGAGCGCGTGCTGGGAGATATCTCTTAACGCCACTGAAGGAGGTAAAATGTTCCTCACCACCGAGGAGAGAGATAAGATGTTCCTCACTCTCCAGGAGGGAGATAAGATGCTCCTCAGCCTCGAGGGAGAGAAGGCAATAGGTCCTCCAATTTGTAAATAATCATTACGAGATACCATTGATTTTCTTAACTTGAAATGTCTTTCCACTTGTAGATTATTTATCCAGATCTATCCTCGTTATCATCTTCTCCAGAAAGGGCTATCTTCGCTAGCTTCATACACCATCTATAACTGGTTCCCTCCCACAATAACTCGCTCCTACCTCTAGCTCATCTCCTGGGCAGGATACTTCGTGGTTCACCCGACATTCTCTTACTCAAGTTATAGAACAACTTGGTTTCTCATCCACATGCTTGGCTCTTCCTTCATCCGTCACTTTCCGACACTTCAACTTTTTGTTTGGGTTATTGTAGTTTTCTTCCAGCCGCAAGTTAGAATTCTTGAAAATTCCTTCTTTCTCTTATCCATCCCTAAGGTTAGAATCCTGCATTTTATCTGTCTCCCTTCATTGACCTAAATAATGCAGGTGATGAGTCACAATAACGTGGCTAAATTATGTTGACCAGACCACACACTAGAAGGTGAAGGGACGACGACGTTTCGGTCCGTCCTGGACCATTCTCAAGTCGATTGGGAATGGTCCAGGACGGACCGAAACGTCGTCGTCCCTTCACCTTCTAGTGTGTGGTCTGGTCAACACCTTAACAATCTTTGACTCAAGTGTTATTGTTGACTCAAAGGTTACTTTCTCCTCATCACGTAGTACCGTCAATCAATTCTCTCCATCAGCTGTGGTTCCTCTCGACAATGTCCTTCACACTACCGCAAGTTCAGGTCGTCTTTCCACCTCCCGCGCGGTCATTCTAGCTACACTGCGCTCTCCCGAGAGCACGTGCTTCTCTACCAACCTTCCTGACGCTGTATTTAGAGCTCGACGTTCTACATACAGCCACAGGGCCTACAGGATACTCTACTGGAAAGCACTGTTTTCCTCTTCATTTGGAACTAAACTTCTTTAGTAATTTTGCAGACGTTCCGATGCTTAGAGCAGGCCTGTTAGGTGAAGCTAGCCTCCAATCTTGGACAGACAGACAGACAGACAGACTGAAAAAATAGATATATTATCTTCTATAATTGTATATGCAATTCACAAAACAAACTGTCAGTAATTGAACCTCAGATATATTGTTTATACATGAACCGTGTTCGCGTGGATAGGGAAATACGTCAAAAATTAATGGGAGAAAGGCAACTGTAGCCAGTAATCCACATTTTCCTCTCTTCCCACAGACAATTTGGTCCCAAGTAACCTTGCGGTCAAAAGGTGGCCTTCAGGAAGAGCACTTGGCAACAGCCCTGAGAAAACAGGCGGAACTTGAAGCTGCTTCTACTCTACAATCAGGTATTTTGTAGTTCTTTTGTATTAGCCAATTAGAACGTAGACAGTTCAAAACCAGGCTGGCAGGCAGTCAGCAAGTAGATCTCGGGGGCTACGCCCTGAAAGCCTCTTTCGATAGGTTATTAAGGCTTAGCATATTTGCATTTATGATAAATATGTCAAGCATTTTTGAGCCACTTACTGCAGATATTAGAACAATGTAGACTTGGTTTGTTTCCCAGTAAGTAATTCAAAGATGTTGAGATAGAAGGAAGGTGCAGGGAAGGGAACAGAGAACCCTTCTGGGAACTTCAGGGAAGAGAACAGTTATATTATACGATATAATATAACTACAAAGAAATATATTTTTAGAATATTTGATAAAAAAAAGTCTGTATTCCATGATGTAATGAGGAGACATGACCGACCTCGCTGGCTCTAAGGAGATCACACCATACACTGATTGGTATTTTTATATTATCCTGTTCGTAACTATTATTGTTATTATTTAGAATATTATTTTAATATGCATGAGAGTTATTATTGTTAGTGTTCCATTGCGTGTGTTCTGTGTATGTTTGTACTTATATATTTTTTCGTGGTCTGTTCTTTATGATCATTGGACCGTCCCTCCCGAGGGGCAAGAACCTGCACAAGGAAGTGATAGTGTCGGTCCACAGCTGCCTCTCACGCCACCCTCCCAGCTCCTCTCTCTCTCTCTCTCTCTCTCTCTCTCTCTCTCTCTCTCTCTCTCTCTCTCTCTCTCTCTCTCTCTCTCTCTCTCTCTCTCTCTCTCTCTCATCTCCTCTCACCAATGATCACTTTTTCTTTACCACTACCGCTCCCTCTCTTTTCCCAATATTCTCAGTTTTTTCCAGACGAAATTTCCTCCCTCCCTCTTTCTCTCTCTCTCTCTCTCTCTCTCTCTCTCTCTCTCTCTCTCTCTCTCTCTCTCTCTCTCTCTCTCTCTCTCTCTCTCTCTCTCTCTCTCTCTCTCTCTTCTTCTTCTTAAGTGTCTTCATCCCCGTTATCACTTATTCCATCAAATTTATCTTTACCTTTCTTCATTTCTTCGACAATCCCACATTTTCTTCTCACCTATTTTCCCAGTTAGGTGGTGTGAGAGGTGGATGAGATGTTCATCCGTAATCCATTCACGACCTGGGCAGGAAAAGTGCCTTTCTGTATCCCTTTTCCCCTGTGATCCCTTTCGCACTTCGTGTCTTTTCTCCTTTCTCCTCCTTTTCCACTACCTTCAATCCAACCTTTCTCATTTTCTCCCCTCCCCCCCCCTCATTGGCTCATTCGCGTCTATCCTCCTTTCCATCTGTGGTACTCACATAGGACGTTGATGGTGAGGGAGGTAGAAGAGGGCTCGGTGATGTTATTATTGAGGGCTTGGCAGGTCAGGGTAGCCCCCTGGAGCGTTCTTGAGCCCACCACCATGATCCTGCTCTCTACGCCCGAACCTCGAACGCTTCCTACCTGAGGGGAGAAAAACACACACATACATGCTTTCGAGTACTGGTTCATGGCTATTTATGTTGGACTTCATTGATGGTGATGATGTGGGTTCAGTGTGACAGGTGGTAGTGATGTTTTTTTTGTACTGTGGTTCATTGGGGTGTTGTGCTTCTCTGGTGTTGCTTCTGTGGTTCGATGAGAGGGATATATCAGTGGTACATTGATAGAAATAGTAGTGTTGTTTTTTGTTTACAGTGTTACAGTGGTTTATGGCAATAGAGTAGTTTATATTTGTTTATGCCTAGGTATACCGATAATGGGTTCATGTCTGATGCGCTGGATCCATCCCTGCATTCACACACACACACACACACACACACACACACACACACACACACACACACACACACACACACACACACACACACACATACACTTATATATATAAGCTATCAACCCAGCTAAAGTGTGTTAGAATTACGTACGCCAACATGTACATATGTGATCACAAAGCAGTTGTACATATTTAGGTGTTATTAGGAAGATAAGTCACTTTTAATTTTAGATAATGACAGATTCAAATATTCAGGTTCAAACACACTTTTACGCAGAAACACATATTTATTGCACAACATTCAGTAAAAAACCCATTCAGTGTTGAAATATAACATTCAGACCACAAATACATTCAGACCACGAACACACACATTCACGCAGAAATACACATTCAGGCCCCAAACACGCTTTTAGGCACTCTCTCTGTACCTGAAATAATTAATAACATAATTAAACTACCAGTTCCCAACCAAAATTTAATATGTTAATTTATTAATTAACATTTTATACACACATTTATGTTTGTAGGCATCTATTCCACCAACTTTTTTCATATACCAATGAACACGTTTCCATAAAACAACGCTCACTGATGGACTTGCAGCTTAAGACTGGACGATTTCATTTTATTCTCAATTTTGCGAAGATCAAAGAGACGTCGACCAGGATGGAGATCACAGAAGGTGAAAATGCTCTAGCAGCTCTTTTTCCTCTCTCTCTCTCTCTCTCTCTCTCTCTCTCTCTCTCTCTCTCTCTCTCTCTCTCTCTCTCTCTCTCTCTCTCTCTCTCTCTCTCTCTCTCAGTTACTTTCGCCAGTAACTCTCTTCAGTGCTATAATTATCAACACCAAATTTATAAAGTGCTTGGTAAATTGTAAATGAAAGACCAGCCCAGTAATTCCATTTAAATTAAACTGTTTCCTTCACACATATAGAGAAAGAGAGAGTACATTTAGTCAGGCTCACGAAGAGGAGAAAGCAGCGTTATACATGAACAATTCAGAGGACTGGCATCCAGTTCTCGGGCTGCTCACTTCCAGCGATGTTGACAGGCGAGAAATATGCGAACACGGACGACAAGAAGGAAAGCATCTCTCAGGAAAGCGGACTTTGCAAGACCAGCCTGAGGCGCAGCAGCAGCACTCTCGGAGTTTAGCATGCAGCAAAAATGGCCCAAAAATTTTCACAAGAAACTCGCCGTGCTGCTGGATTTTGCGAGGTTATGTTGCTATAAAACCTTGCGTGCGTAAAGATCAATATTGCTTGTGTGAGCCGGAGGGAAGGACCGTCCTCTTGGCCCCTTATAACATGTAGTGTGTGTAGGGCGCGACCCACATTTGTCTCTTACCTCTCTTTCCTGCTGGTGGTCGCTGCTGCTGATACTGCTTCTCGCGGCGATTCTGCTGTTGTTTCCAGTGCTGTTACTGCTCATGCTGCTGCTCGCGCTGATTCTGCTGTTGTTTCCAGCACTGTCACTGCTCATGCTGCTGCTCGCGCTGATTCTGCTTTTGTTTCCAGCACTGTCATTGCTCATGCTGCTGCTCGCGCTGATTCTGCTGTTGTTTTCTTGCTATCACTGCTATATTTGGTATTGATGTAACTATTTCTATTCCTGTCACTGTTCTTCGTGTCGTAAATGTTCCTGATTTTGATGTTGCTTTTATTTTCTGTTATTACTCTTCTTGCTGATGATGTCTCCCAACATGGTGCTGCTCTTTTTTTATCCACTCTTCATTCCAGCAGCTGCGGCTCTTGTTGCTGTTGTCTCTTTATTGTAACAAGTGTCGTAGTCCTCTCCTTATGGTGATTGCATTTGTGGATGGTGGTGGCTCAGGTGTTCATGGGAGATGGTGGTAGTGGTAGCTTCTTCGACAGTGATGGTTGTAGGAGGGGGATGGTTGTAGGAGGGGGGATGGTGATAGTGGTGTTTTATAGTAGCTAAAGCAGTGATGGTGGTACTGGTGGTTGTGAGCAGCAAGTAGGGTGATGGTGGGAGTGATAGTTGTAGGAGCAAGGAGAGGGGGGGGATGGTGGTGGTAATACTGGGGTTGATTATCATATTGCATGTGGATTTGTGAAATCATCCGGCAAGTTGACGCTAAGGCACGCTCCTGCCTCATACTCCCTCCTCATGTTCCTGTCTCACACTCCTTCCTCATGCTCCTGCCTCATACTCCTTCCGCATGCTCCAGCCTCCTACTGCTTTCTCGTGCTCCTGCCTCATACTCCTTCCTCATGTGCCTGCCTCATACTCCCTCACGTTCCTGCCTCACACGCCCTCCTCATATTCCTGCCTCACACTCATTCCTCATGGTCGTACCTCACACTTCTTCCTCTTGTTCTTGTCTCCCACTATGCCTTACTATGTATAAACTTGAAACAAGTGTATACATAACGTATACATAGTAAAACGAGGCCAATAATTCTGAACCATTTCATGATAAACAAAGCGAATATTGCAATGTTATCATCTATGTGTTAATATTGCAATTGCAAGTGCATTTGCAATAGTTCAAATGCAAAACTAACAGCAACACAGGCTATTGTAATGTCAATCAAACTGACATATCCAACAGGTGTGAAGGCCGGACTAGATTTTACTGGGAAATTTAGGTACACTGTGGTTTTGAGATGACAGTACCACACGCTACCAACTACGACAGGAGTCTTGATCAGGACTAAGGTGGTCTTTGTTGAGTCTTAGGTCTGATGACCTGATATAAATGATATATATATATATATATATATATATATATATATATATATATATATATATATATATATATATATATATATATATATATATATATATATATATATATATATATAATAAAAAAATCATGTGACAACATTTTACATCAACAACGAAAAGAAGACAAACGTAAAATTCAAGGTCTTTCTAGCAGTAACAACTTCATTAAGTATAACATAATACTACACAAGACAAGTCCGATTTTTCGTTGAAACTTTCGAAAGAAAAATCCAAATATAGTTCGTGATGGCAAATTTTTCTCAGTCGAAGCAGTCACAAGGGAGGAATGGCGTCACAGTTCCGGGAAACTGTTCACTATGTGTCGGTGGCATTAACAGATTAACGCGATCATGACCCAATAAGCAAAGCATCTAAATTTGGGATATTTTTTTGCGTACGATTTTATTCTCAGTAGATGACTACGGTTATTCACTTGTCTGTATTCAGTTATTTTTACCTGCAGGATCGAGCTGTTAGCTCATGGTCGTGACCTGTTTTATCTGTTATGTCTACTATATTTTTCTCAAGTACAAACATGGATGAAGCCAGCAATAAATGTCCAGCTCCCAGATATTTACTTACAGATAAGGAAACAAAAGCATCAGGTGCAAACAAACTTTGCTTATTTTTGGTGTGTGTTTGGGGGAGGGATTATGGTTGTGCATGTATATATACATATGTTTGTGTGTGTGTGTGTGTGTGTGTGTGTGTGTGTGTGTGTGTGTGTGTGTGTGTGTGTGTATTCACCTAGTTGTTCTTGCAGAGATTGAACTCTGCCCTTTCGACCCGCTTCTCAACTGTCAATCGATCAATTGTAACTACTAACTAATTTTTGTTATTATTATTTTCTTTCCCAACACACACACACCCAGGAGGCTGATAAATGATAAATTTAACACTGTTTTTAGTTTTCCTACCAACGTTTCACTGGTAATATTACTTTTTTGAGCCCTCTGTGGCTGTAGTCAGTGGCATTACCATTTTTGTCATAAACAATATAATTCCAATCATCACCATAACTAGCATAATAACGATAAATTGATCCAGTTTAATTCCTGCAGTTGCATCTACTGATTAACTGGTTGCGGCTTCTAGTCCCATCACTCAGGTTGCAGGCTGAGGAGATATAGCCAGCAGTAATTTCCTATTAAATCCCTCCAGACGTGCATTTCACTTTAAGCACCAGTCAAGATATGAATTTAAAGAAAATGTGATATGAAAATTACTTTTTTATATTTTTTTCCGCAATTCGTGACCTCTGTGAGTGCTTTTCAGAATCGCTGCCCCCTGTCAAAAGTCTTTGAATCCATCAACGTATGCAGCTGATGGTGTATTTTTTAAGCTCATATGAATAATCCATCATACGTAATTGCGTTATGTTTGATTTATATGATGATTGGCAGCAAGGGAGGAGGGGAAAAGCAATTTTCATTCTCGCTTAGGAAATATCTCGTCTGGAAAATGGACGGTGGACGCAATGTTACTTCATAACCCTGATGATGAATAAGGGTTAACTTTACATCCTGGACGATGAATAAGTATTTAGTTCACATCCTGAGTGATGAATAAGTGTTTAGTTCACATCCTGGGCGATGAATAAGGGTTTAGTTCACATCCAGAGCAAAATGAAAGGGATATTACTCTCGTTTCAAGGACGGTCATATGTGGTACCGATAAGCTGGTTATGAATGTCCAGGGTGATGGAACAGGCAGAAGGTGAAGGATAACAGGGTGATATTAATAGGGTGATGAAGGAAATATTGTGAGAGAATGTAGGGTGCAGGAGCGTGTATTGTGTATGATGATTTTAGAGTGAGGAGGCAAGTAGTGTGAAAGAGAATGAGACGGAAAGTAGTGGGGGAGGGAGAGGAAGGGAAGGAATATTGTGTAGGGAATGTAGGGGTAGGGGAGGGTGATAGTTGCAATACAGAGTAAGGGAGTTGAGGTAAAGTAACCTTATCAGAACTAACTCACCGAACCTAATCTAACCTACCTTAATTTAATCTAGATTAACCAAACATAATCCTGATAAACCAAACAATTCCGGAAGTACCACCAAACCAAAAATACCCCTAACAATCCAGATTAACAGAGGCTAACATAATGCTCAAAAAAACTTTTTGTAAACTAACTAATCCAATTAAACCCAGGCTAACCTCATATATTCCAAACTAATCTAACTTATTCTAAAAAATAACATAACATGGACTTATCTGAAAGAACATTATTAAAGGAATCTGCATAAAGGCTTTTCGTGAATGGAAGGCAGCGTCAATATATATCTAATTACTAACTTTTAGGTATTTGCAACCTATGTTTGAAACTTTCCAGTCTGTTTAGTTATTTTATGGTAATGTGAAACTTGTTCATCAGATCTGCAAACCAATTTCCAAACTTAGTATTTACCTATTTGTTAAATAAATCAAAATTTATCCAACTTGATAATATTTCTGCATTATGTCTTGGATTTATATTTTAATCGCTCAATTTATGTTCTATTTATATAATGAATATAAATTCAGTTGTCTTAGTCTATCATCACAAGGGAAGTTCTTTATGACTCCGATAAACTTAGTAATGATATCCTGTTTATTTATCAAGATAATTTACATTCAATCAAAACACAGTTCTCGACTCCCCCTCAGGAAATCTCGAGTTCGATTCCCGGGTGGGGCAGAAATGGTTGAGCAAGTTTTCTTTCTCCTGATACAACTGTTCACCAAGGGGTAAATATGTACCCTGGAGTTGCACAGCTGTTGTGAAGTTACATCTTTAGGAGGGTCTTTAGTTCGACCTTGGAGAGAGTTTGATATAAGCCTAGAGCATATATATAGGCTTCCTGTCCCAGACAAAACGAGTTATTATCAAGTTTTTTGTTCGCAAGGCAAACGATACTGAAAAGCGGTAGAGGGGCTTTATCTCAAGAGATAGAATAATAATATATTGTAATATTATTGCTCGGTTTTCTGATGGATTTATTGCCTATCATTTAGGAAGAGTTCATAAGAGTACCCATTGGAGCTTACTGATCAACCAGCATATATACATAAGTTTACAGAGTATACTCAAGTTTTAGTATACAGAGAATACTCAAGTTTAATTCACAACAAGAGTAAACTATAAGTGTACACACAGTGTTATATGGACTGTACCACTAGTTGTGTACGTATCTTGATTTTAATTTTAGCATTCAAGCTTGACGCACACTTGATGCTCGAGCAGTCTTAGCATGTTGAAGTGATTTGAAGAAATATTGTGCCCAATAAAGTCACGAATGCTGTCGGGTGTTGGGAGTTATAAGTCTGACGACTTCCCAATATTTCTGTACAGTCGGTGGCTGAGTGGTAATAGTACTGGACATGCCAATGGGCATGGAGGCCCCTGGCTGACAGGGTTTGAAATCTTCAGAGGTCAAGAGTCTTCTAATGCATGTTGGCTTGCTTGTGAAATAGCTTGACGCACACACTAACACACGCACACACACACACACACTGACATACACCAACACACTTCACCTCCTCACTGCTACTCACCAATGGTCTTACCTGGTCCAGCCTGTCCCCATCCCTCCACCACGTGAGTATGGGCGTGGGAGATCCGCCCACAGACCTGCAGGTGAGCTGGGTGTGGGCGCCTTCCTCAAGGGGACCCACAGTGTGAGTTAGCTGCGTACCGATGCTGTTCAAGATAATGGGCGGACCAGGAGGTACTGTGGAAAGAGGAGTTCTCTATGTTAGCATGAGAATCGCTTAAGCAACGAATGCTATTCCGGCCTATACGAAAACACATAGAATCGATTAAAATAATATTGAAGGAAGCCTAATAAATCGGTCAGGAAAATTTTCTTAGGATTAAAGTTAACATAGACTAATATTATCAGTTGAGGTTCGGTTAAGACCAATTGGCAAATGAAAAATATGGTCTGGACATTGATTCTTCATGGTATGGTTACTTCTTTCAATTGTCTTGTTTTCATTTTGCGAATTAAAATTTGCCAATATTTGTGACAACTCTGTAATGATAAAATACACGTTGTTTTAATATAAATACCTTCTAAATTTGAAAGCTAAAAGCTATTAAATGTATGCCAAAATTTAAGTTTGATTTAGAGTGCTGTACACCGGAACAGTACAGCAATTATTGTAATGATCTCTATAAGTTATTATATATAAAGTTTATAATTACCAGTTGGACAATATTTCCAAAAGAAATATTCAGTCAAGGCAAATTTTTCCGATAAGTAGAGCTTGGTCACGGCAGACTGGTGTTACAGTGATAGTAGTTTCACTTGAAATATATTCACCATCAAATATATTCACCACATATATTCAATATATTCATGTTTAGAAAAGTCAAATCGGAAGTCATTCAAGAGAAAACATTAAGATCCCATTTGTTTTTAAACACTAAGAAAGAAAATTTGAAAAGGAAAAAAGACATACTAGTATCCAAATATTTGATGAAGGAAGCTGTAGATATGATCTAGAGAGAGACACGGCATCACTCAGCAAATGTTTGAGGCTTGCTGCCTCGTGTTGTACTACCTGACTCTTGCAGAGCTCTCGGCTCGATCAGTGATTCAGAACTTTTTGAGATGTATCGGACGACCGGAGAAGAAGTTCACAAGAATTGGAGGAATTTTGGAGAAACACCGAGGAATGTTGGAGATAATAAAAGTTGGCGAGAGGTGCCTGGTACAGGCTGGAGTGGTTGGGAGAAGTGCCAAAGTTCTGAACAACCGGAGAAGTGCAAGGGGGGAAAGTTTGAAGGATTCTAAAAGTGTGCAGAGAAGGTGTGTATATGTGTGTGTGTGTGTGTGTGTGTGTGTGTGTGTGTGTGTGTGTGTGTGCGCGCGCGCGCGCGTAATAGTGCAATGAAAGGGAATGATCAGGATAGAGTACCAAGCCATTACGTCTATTTAGCACTTGGAAGGGGTCAGCATAAGAATTAGAGATTGGATAGGGTGGAAGGAATGGTGCCCAACCACTTGGACAGTCGGGGATTGAACGCAGACCTGCATGAAGCAAGACCGTCCCTCAACCGTCCAGCCGAAGTGGTTGGCCGTGTAATAGTGCAAACAAACACTGTAGACAAATAGTATGAGAGGCTGTTTATTCAATAAAAAACTATATTATATTTATAATATAATATTTTATTGTTATATATATGTGTGCATGTTCTGTAAACTGTAGTATTGCAATAAAATAAAATAATATAATACAAGATATATAAAAAAAGAAATAATAGGGATGGTAGGAGAGAAAAGATTAAAGTGTTCAGTGAGAAACCACAAGGTCTTCCCTGAATACTCTTTATTTTCTTCCTTGAGGATGTGGGTCCCTACAATTTCACCAGAGGTGTACCCCTTTATATTTTAATTTATATATATCCAATATAAATATTGGATATTTATCAAATATTCAGTATTTATATTGGATATTTTATAAAAAAAATCAATATTTATATTGGATATTTTATATTAATATTCAATATAAATAGCGGATATTGTTCAATTAAAACTGATGGAAAATATCTCACGACATTTCCATAATTTTGGGATATATCATTTGCAGTTATGTTCAAAGATAAGCCTCTTAAGCTGCCATCTTTGATATCTACCAAAAAATATGGTCAACCCTTGAAAATATCAGTATTACACCTCTGCTTTTGAACATGTCTGTCAAACCATTACTGACTTAAGATTGTCAGGGTATCACGGGAAAATTTAAGGGAACTGACAGAGAGGGAGACGGAAAATTACAAAATGGCAGAGAAAGAATAAAAGCGAAGGTTGACAGGCAGGTAGACAGACATTGGGAATACGGAGACAAAATGATCTAGAGGTAGATAGACAGTGAGACAGGTGGAGACAGACTGTAGTAAGCATTTTATCACTTGATCTCTAAGATCGGATTCCCAAGAGTCGATTCACACTCATAAAGAATTGCGTAATTCGGGTTAAACCAGCTGTCAAACTACTGTTTATGAATTAAAACCCTTTACAATTGAATATCAAAATTAAATTAGAATTTTACACTTTTTTACATTTTTACAATTTTACACGTGCTTCACTTTCTTGATGGGTTCAAAATTCCACCTCTGTAAATGACTCGCCCATGTACTTCAGATACAAATCATTTGTACAGTGCATTTCAAATACAATACCAATGGAACCAAAATAAATAACCTATCTTTTCATAGGTCTTACTGTACAGAAATGTTTTATACATTTTAATAATAATGATTTCTTTGAGTAAAAAGTTTATTTGAACTCAAAAACATTATTATTTATAGGTTTGCTCTCTCATTTATAAACTTATTTACTCATTGACTTGTTTACTCACTGACTTACTCACTGTCCTGCTCATTCACTGTCCTGATCAATCACTGACCTGCTCAACCACTAACCTGCTCAACCACTGACCTGTTAACTTACCGACCTGCTCACTGAGTCATTTATTTATTTATCGACTCGCGCCCAACCACTTCCCTACCACCCCCTGGTTCCCTCCCTGACGGGTCCACCCATTTATAGAAAAGCGGATTAAGCAAACACTTGTACAAATGTCCTGTCAGCCTCTGCATATATTCCTCCCGGCCACTCTACATGAATATCGTAAACATAAAATGGTAATAGATTAACCCCATCCACTAAATTCGCTACGGAGCACGATTTAGGGAATTGTGATCAACGTTCGCTAGTTAGTAAATGCTTTGTGTCTAGATTTTGGGTGCAGTTCTCTGTTTTGTGACTGTTCTATGGGGATATTTTCGGTTTTGGGACTGTTCTATGGGGATATTTTCGGTTTTGGGACTGTTCTATGGGGATATTTTCGGTTTTGGGACTGTTCTATGGGGATATTTTCGGTTTAGGGACTGTTCTATGGGGATATTTTCGGTTTAGGGACTGTTCTATGGGGATATTTTCGGTTTTGTGACTGTTTTATTAGTGTCTGCTTTGTAACTATTTTTATAGCTAAGCAACGTCTGGTTAGTGACTGCTGTGTCTGCAGGTGATGAGTCACAATAACGTGGCTAAAGTATGTTGACCAGACCACACACTAGAAGGTGAAGGGACGACGACGTTTCGGTCCGTCCTGGACCATTCTCAAGTCGACCATTCTCAATCGACTTGAGAATGGTCCAGGACGGACCGAAACGTCGTCGTCCCTTCACCTTCTAGTGTGTAATCTGGTCAACACTGCTGTGTCTGCTTAGTGACTGATGTGTCTGCCTAATGCCAGGGGTGAGGCCGAGTCTGTAGTGTGATACAACACAATAAATAATATAAGTCCCGCTTCCCTCCCTAACAAGGCCGGTAATTACAGGTGTTATCGTTCACAGCTCCACGAGCCCAGAGAACGGAATAATACTTAAAATGCAGTAATAAAAGAAATAATATGACAATATATACAGAAATATAAAAACAAAAAATGAACGAATTGTACAGTTATATGCAAAAATTCACGAAATTCAGAGTAATATATTGGGATCAATTATATATCAAAACAAGAAACAACTGAATAAAATATAAAGAAATGCTGGGAATAACTGAACGAAATATACAGAAATATGTAGGGAAATATATTGAACGAAATATGTAGGGAAATATATTGAACGAAATATGTAGGGAAATATATTGAACGAAATATACAGGAAACGAAAATCGAATTATGAGTAATCACGCAGGAAAAATAATAAAGTTTAAAAATGGTCATCTTTTTGCCGAAGCGTATTGGTCTGGTAATTGACCAGTTGTAAAAGACTCACCCACTATATAATTCCCATGTCTTTTGTGCAATAGGATGGGGCTGGCGGGGATTTATGACTTAATAAACAAATGCAATACCAAAACATTTTTCACAAGCCAAAGAGTTAAATCGTGCAAGAGACATTTCTGTTGACTGTATTTTGTGGTAAGCAGCTTGCCATAATAGCAATGGTAGCAGTGGCATCACGTTTGTGAGAGGAGGAGGTGGAAGAAGAGGAGGTGGAAGAAGAAGAGGTGGAAGAGGAACGGAAGAAGGAAGAGGAAGGGAAGAAGGAAGAGGAAGAGGAGTTGAAAGAGAAGGTTACTGGAATAAATTTGACATGAGCAGTAAATTAAAACAAATTGATCAACATAAGTACTTTCCATAAAAATTATTTCAAAATAAAGATACATAAACACCTGCCTGCTGATCACGGTGACACAGCTTAACTGTATCATGGATCAGTTTCGCTAATTGATATCCCTCTCTCTCTCTCTCTCTCTCTCTCTCTCTCTCTCTCTCTCTCTCTCTCTCTCTCTCTCTCTCTCTCTCTCTCTCTCTCTCTCTCTCTCTCTCGCTCTCTGCAGTTTCTTTTAAGAAAATGTGTCACTGTATACGTTATTCCACCTTTAAAAAAAATCGTGTTCGCTATGTGGAGCCTCGTTCTAGAAACACTTTAAACCTACAACCACACAACATCACCCACATCGTGCCCCATCACAACACTCCAACATAGCATACAATAATACAAGCCTACTGCTTTATACACCATCAACTACAACCTCACACTTCCAACCACACACTCTCACTACCAACCACACACTCTCACTACCAACCACACCGCCACAACACCAACCGCATTATTGCATTACCAACTTACCACAACACAAAAAAACAAGTCATTACAACACTTGCCAGACCATATCCTCACTATCCAGTTATAAAAAGTACTCAGGAACAATTTGGGGACCTTTGACAGGCCGTCAGTTTCCTGCCCCGTCAAGAACACTAGAGAGATGGTAGCCCTCAGGTAAATTCAGGTAAGCACTTCCTCAACCGCGTTATACCTCCATGAGTTACACAGATGTGACACATTCATATCACAATACCAAGCCTCACATGCATACTACATTAGAAAAAATAATAATTATACCACACCATCACAAACCACATAACCAAACGACCACTGAAACAGACGCGAGAAGCCAAACAAACCAATCAGACGAGATATTTATCTCATTTTAATTAGAGATAAAAACGTGAATTTTTACAAGTTATTCGGCAGTAACTATCCATAATTGTTTTAATCCCATAATGTCGTGTTTTAGCATTAGTAGATGTCAGGGTTCCCTGTTTCACGTCTATATATTCAAGAATACCGAGAATTATTTTGGAAATATTAAGAGAAATGACAATTTTAAGATTTGACTTCCAAATTTGTCCAACATAATTTAAAAAACATTTGGATGAAAACTTCGTATTAATATCGAAACGGATATATCACTGCTACATTTTAATTATTTATATATAAAATGAATTATTTTGGTTGCTAGTTATTGAGCCATGTCTTAGAGATAACACAAAATTTATACTATTTTTTAACGTCCGTGTGTATGTTTATTTACACGTATTCGTGACTAAATGTGGGAATAAAAGTTGAATGGAGATTACGTCGTGGAAGGAAGAAAGGAGAATTATTAGGAGAAAGCGCCAAGCCATTACGACTATGTAGCACTTAGAAGGGGTCAGGATAAGGATTTGGGATGGGACGGAGGGAAGGAATGGGGCCCAACTACTTGGACGGTCGAGAATTGAACGCCGACCTGCATGAAGCGAGACCGTCGCTTTACCGTCCGTGGAAGGAAGTGACTGAAGCAAGTAAGACAGGCGTGGTGATCGCTGGCTGACGGTGTAGTAGTGTAGTAACCTTTATGTGGTAGTAGTAATCTTTATGTACCCATGGGGGGCGTAAGCGAAGTATATATAAGAGTCGTTAGGGGTACCATGAAAATTTAAGAGGATGAGCAGTAGAAAGTGTCAGTCTGAGATGTATGTGTGGTGTCAGTTGGGTAGAGTAAGCTCAGAAAATGTCTTGGGCAAATATGAAATAGACAAGTAGATAAAACCTTAGAAAGTATTTAAATTATGATTATTTGCCCGCATTGATTTGCAGAATGTATTTTGGGTAATGGGTGGGAAGAACAGTAGAAAACAAACAAACCATCTACCCTGTAGCCTCGAGGAAAGCTGCAAAGAACAGCTAAACCTCTTCCAAGATTGTTAAGGGTTCCATGAAACACGAGCATGAAAATATGTCTCGAGCTTGACAAAGTGACGTATGATCCTACAGGCAAAAATATTAAATACAAATAGCAAACACACACTCACTCACACACACACACACACACACACACACACACACACACACACACACACACACACACACATAAACACACACACACACACACACACACACACACACACACACACACACACACACACACACACACACACACACACACACACACACACACACACACACACACACACACACACACACACACAAACACACACACTCACAGTAAAAAAAAAAATATCCTCTGCCTTGTGGTTTCCTTCCCAGCTCTCAGATATATGACATGGAAGCATCTCTAGTCCCCTCCCCCTTCCAGCTATTTTACTTTCCAAGGAGAAGCCCTACGCTATATTATACCCATTTTGTCCTCCTCGCCTCGGTTGGAAATCCCCTGAAACTTTATAGTTTCTGCTTCTGTGAAGAATGAAATTATTACCAGAATCCCATGTGGTCTTTACAGAACATTAGGAATTCTGTAACGTTCCTTGAAATATGATTATTAAATCTTCGTTCTTGCTTTTTCTTCAATTTCGAGACAGATTAAGAAGGATGAATATTTAATAACCTGTTTTATATTTACATCTTTCATAATGTTTTATGACTGGTTGTCTGTCTGTCTGTCTGTCTGTCTGTCTCTCTCTCTCTCTCTCTCTCTCTCTCTCTCTCTCTCTCTCTCTCTCTCTCTCTCTCTCTCTCTCTCTCTCTCTCTCTCTCTCTCTCTCTCTCTCTCCTGAACAACCTACGACATCGTGTCTGCCATCCTGCCTACCTCCTCCCACCTGTTACACCCTCAGCTGACCCACGTAAGTTTCTTCTTTACGACCCTCCTCAGATCCCGGCTCCGCAGTTCTCTTCATTTCTCCCAAGTTCCTTGTTTTCACCCGCACATTTTTCATGCTTGTCTTACGCCTTTCTCTATTCCTTGATTCAAACTTGTCCCTGCGTATGCCCTCGTTGCCAATTGTCTTGACGTATCCCTTCATAACTCCGTGTCCGGTCATGGCATTCCATACACACAGAAATCACAATAGTGGGATATGTTAGATGAACAAATCCACAAGGGTCTTGAGCAGGGTTCGTATTGAAGTAGAGGTAGAACAACTAGTTGACAGAGCCCGAGTGCATGAGGGGTAGTGTGTGAATCCCTGATTATGCTTCTGAGAATCTTCGGGATCCTTGTGATGGCAGTAGCACTCCAGGTTGCAGTTCTTTTGACCTTGTCGTGGTACAGTTGACTAAGTTGCATCTGGGAACATCGCGTGCGTAGGTTCGAACCTTTATTACGGCCCCTGTGGATTTGTTCATATCATTCTATCGTAGTTTCGTCTGGAACGTTCATCTGCTGAGATTATTTTGTACTGCATTTATTGTCTTTCTTTATATCCTCCAATTCTCTTAAAATCCGGTCAAAATTTGTTTATTCATTGGTCAATTGATTCAGCATCTGCTTCTATTGCAGCATTTTTTGTAATTTTATGTTAGAGAGTTACGCCGTTAATAAGTAATAATAATAACAGTACAGTGTTATATAGATTTTTTTATTATTTTATAATTAATCAACAATGAATGTTTTATAATATTTTCTTAATTTGCGATTATAAATTAGTAAGACCTAATAGAACGGCCCAAATACTACTTTCGTAAAAAAAAGTATATGTGTAATATAAATTTATAATTTTTTTAAGAGCGATTTGACAACATCTGCAGTATATGATGTATATCAGTAATGTATTTATATTAGAAGCGTTACATTTAATGCGGCAGTCTTACAAATAAGTAGTGAGATTTGATATAAAGCTTATATAAAGGTTTCAAAATATATTTTATCTCTGAAAATTATAGCTTTCAACTAAATAAGATATATTACCTGGTTTTAATAGTCAAAATTATCAGAATGGAAAACCAATCGAAATTCATGGTGGAAATACACTTTCTATGAGTACAGTGAAGCAAGAATTGTCCACCCCCCTCCCTCACCTCTCTCTTTCTGTCTGTCTGTCTGTCTGTCTGTCTGTCTGTCTCTCTCTCTCTCTCTCTCTCTCTCTCTCTCTCTCTCTCTCTCTCTCTCTCTCTCTCTCTCTCTCTCTCTCTCTCTCTCTCTCTCTCTCTCACACCCCGCAACTGATGTTAACTAAAGAGTCACAGACAAAACAGATACCGAGTCCCTTATAGTCAAGTTTTAAAGTGTGAACCAAACTCGTTCTCCTCACTCGTCCTTCTGTCCTCACGAATTTCAGCCTCCACATTTGTAAAAGTAATTCCACTCTTGCTATAAAAACATATATTTATTAGCATAAGGCGAGCCTCGTAACATGTTTCACACTGCACCAGAAGCAACTCTCAGTCCTGAACCTCGGCTTGTGTGTTTTCAGTCCACCTTTACCACAGAATTTAAAGTTTAAATCTGCTTACTCCACAGACTTCGGAATCCGCATGTTTTTCGCTGGATAGTTGGCCAAAAATCTGACTACACTTTCCACAAATTATCTTTCCGGTTGTGTTTATTTGTCTCTCTCGTGGTCATTCGTTTATCTGCCGGCCTTCCTGCTAGTCTATTGGTTTGTGTATATCTCTGCTTATTGGTGTGTATGCCTATCTGTATCCGTCTGTATGTCTCGACTCTGTGTCTATGTACGGGTCTTTGTTTCTCTCTCTCTCTCTCTCTCTCTCTCTCTCTCTCTCTCTCTCTCTCTCTCTCTCTCTCTCTCTCTCTCTCTCTCTCTCTCTCTCTCTCTCTCTTTCTCGCTCTCTCTCTCTCCCTATCCTTCTTGCTATCGCTCTTGCTCACTTTCTCATCTGTTTTGAGAGGAAACATATTTTTCTAGTATCCGTCAAAGTAGACACATATACAATTAGTTATATAAATTATATCGAGTAGTCATCTATATATAGATTCCAAAACGTTATCAACCTACTTACCCCAGTGATTCTATTCCAAATATTCGAGGTTTCACCAACTTTCCTCGAATTATTGGTCAAAATACTGTCCAACTCTCTAATTATAGTCAATCATTTGATAATTAGGTACAAGTTCTATCCACAATAAAGTAGCATACACTGAGTGGCGGAAAATGTGAGGGGGACGGAAAGAAGAAGAAGAATAGGGGAAGGAAGGAAGGGGAATGGTCATACTTACCAATAACAGTAAGGTTGACTTTGGTGATGGCTGAAGGCCTCACTTTATAGTCAACCCTGCAGGTATAGACTGCCTGGTCAGCCACCTTAACATCATCGACCACCAAGGTTGGTGGATCTGACATGATCCTGAAGAAGGCGCGGGAGCCCAGATAGCCCTTATCGGCCCATCTCACCCCCTCGTTAAAAGGCCCGCTTCTGGTGTCGTAGCTGTAGAAGAGAACAGGAAAACACGTATAGGTATTCATGCAATAAATTAGCCAATGAGCGATGACACAGGTTGATAATTATGTTTAATTTAGATTGTTTTCTTAATTTATTTAGCTTTGAAGGCCAAATAATCAGTGCTATTTTACTTTATATACTTTCCGGTCCAGTCCACCTTGTAAGTCAAGCAACTTTACAGATATTCCATCGTACAGTACCACTCAAACTCATTAGTTAATGTAACTATCAGGGTCAATCACTAAGCAAGTTTAACTTTATAGCATTTGGAAGCTTTATTCCAACGACAGACACTCTTGAGCTGGGGACATGAGGATGGTGTTGAGAAATGGTGTCTAGCCGTTTGGACCATCTGGGATCGAACGCCGATCCTGCAAAGGTGCTTGTTTATTGCAAGAACAGATATACTCACCGATGTTATCCAACAGGAATTACAATTCATTTTGTAAATGAATGCACTTCAAAGTACATTCAATATCTCTATGTGGAATGTTTGTAAGTTTAAATTTTAAAACAAAAATGGGAGATCCTCCTCACGAGTTTCCTCTCTTAAACGAAGCGAGAATTGTGTAAAGAGATCTGATACTTCTGTGGCTTTCAGTAAGAGCATTATACTCGCTCCTGATACCGGATTTGCTGATAGAGGTAATTCAGTATAGTGGATAGGCACGGTAAGCAACATTGATACTCTCCTTTGATATCAATATTTTTAAAAACTCTTATATAAAGAAAATATACATAACGGAATGCGGTACTGTTTACAAGGTGTACATTGGTGCATATATAATGAATACTTAAAAGTTAAGTAGAGGAGCTCTTTTAGCTCCTCTACTTCCAGACGGGAACCAAGGACACACACACACACATTTATATATATATATATATATATATATATATATATATATATATATATATATATATATATTACATTATATATATATATATATATATATATATATATATATATATATATATATATATATATATATATATATATATATATAATGGTATGGATTCGGACTTTCCTTCTTTCATCATTAATTTACTCATTAATTATGTCACACCATTAATTAATTTTCGTATAACTTCTTTGATAAAAAAAGTCCTTCAACCCTCTGGGAAATTACTGTCTTGTGTAGAACTTATTCGGATTTGTATCATATATTTCCTTTTGATATATGTTCGTTGTTGACTCTGGGTCCTGTGGCTGTAGTTGATTCTTATGAGGAGTGTTTTAATGTCCAATTGAGATTCTAAGAAATATTTTTTCTTCAGGGATAAACATGCTATCTAGATACTTTTTAACTTTTTAGATAAAAGTTCTGTCGCAGAACGATGGACCTAGAAAATATTTTGCAAGTAATTTTGTGTATATAGGCATAGTTTATCATGCTTTACATATATATAGAATATCATCTTGGCCAGTAGTTTTTGGTCTATGACGGGCTTTCGTTCTAGAGAAGTTGCCAGTCGTTCCTCGTCAGTAGCCTGTCGTCCTTAACAAGTAGCTTTTCATCTTTGATACGTAACCTCTCGTCCCTCACAATTAAAACTTGAAATAATTGACAAGCAGCTGATTCTCCGTAAGAAACGACGCCCACCATATCCAGTAAGGAACCGACCACCACCAAAAATAAATAACCAACAATCCTTTACACCAATCCTTTAAAAATAGATTATCATCCCAAACACCAGAATCCCTCCAGCCCCCAACACAAGGAGTCTTCAATCTCCTACACGGAGCCAACTGTATCACCAACATTGCATGTTTAGAACAGCTTTGCGTGACTAACTTCGCTTCGAAGATTGCTAAGTAATACGTTTTAATACAACCAGAGATATCAGAACAATGTGAATAATCACTCCAGTCCTCATTAAATATAAACTTTTTTTTTACATCACGTGCGGGGAAAAATCTATTAATTCAGAGGAAAAATCGTGCAATTAAACCCTCCCACAAAATTCTCATTAATTCGGTAATTGTGATAATCTCTCGGTCGTAAAGAAGAAGTCTTGATGAAGCCATACCACGCCTGCAGCGTTGCCTGAAGCAAGTGTCCATTATTTGTCTCTCCGTCTGTTCCTAACGGGCCTTCTGCTGGAGTTAGAGATTGGTCAGACGATGAAGAACTCGGAGTTGAACGAGTCGTACGTGTTTGGCTTTCTTATTTAGTTTTACCAATTTTTTTCTACTACGAATTGCTTCTAACCTACTTGTTCTTAATTGTTTGTGTCTGTGTGGGAGTGAGTTCTAGCTCATAGGCCCCGTCTCATTCGTGTTGGTTATCTCTGGAAGTGGTTCCCTGATTTTGTGCATTGTATCTCGACTTCTCTAGCTCATTATACTTCTTGTTGGCTTGCACTACATCCGCTAGCTGGCCTCATTTTGATTTGTAATCTTCATTATATCTTACATCTTGAGAAAACTCAACATGTAACACGATTACAGATTCTTGAAGCCATTCACATAAAAGTAAAACACCCCACAATAAATACCCAAGTAACGAACTATTCACTCTACCCACAATGAGAGTAAGAACAAGACAGCAACGTGAAGACGCCAGTGTTGACGACATTCCTCAAAATGCCACGCCCACTACACCCGATTAATCTTTGTATGTATTTTCCCCTTTTTTCGTTTTACTCTTCACCCTTTACGCCATATTCTTCATCTATTTCGTATTTTATGTACCTGACCCCTAACGGTATAAATCCAATACGCCCGGTAGAGTCCCATTACGGGATCACTATAGCCCGTGCTACATGGACATTTCGTTCTGAGTAGCTAAATCTAAAGCAACAAACAATTACAACGTAGAGTCCCATCACTTGAGAATGAACCATGTAGGTTCGGAACGTTGTGTAAATATATAATAATTGTAATACATTCTAAAGTTACATATATATGTTTAGTTTACCTAAAACAAATATTACATTTGGAGAACTCTTCCAATTAAATCAAGATGCAAGAGCACAAGTCAAAGGGATAGAAGCAATAAACGAGATAATCAACACAGAATATGTAGTCATATTCAGTTATATTTATATATTCTGGAGATATATATCACTTCTGAAGATGTATTGTTAAATACGAAAGTACTTAAGGAAATTCCTGTTTCAATTCTTCCTTCGTGGTCTGACACTGTCACATTTTTCTTCACGTGTTAATGTTTCTGATTTACGTACACACACACATACACACACACACACATACACACACATACACACACACACACACACACACACATACACACACATACACACACACACACACACACACACACACACACACACACACACACACACACACACACACACACACACACACACACACATATATATATATATACAAATAAATTAACGTGTGCACTTTTATTTCTAGCGCACACGCATGGCGCGTTTAGTCTGAGATCCGCTTCTACGTGCATATCAGTTGAGAGCTTATTTTGTCCCAGAAATATGGTCGGCAATACTTATACTGGTTGGTCGGTAAGAATACTTACTGGTTGGTCGGTAAGCAATGGTAGTGATCTTAATAACCATCCAAAGGTTGACAGGCCTTAACCCGAATATCAAATCAGACAGACTTCGATTTTCTCCTCACTATCTCACTACACGAAAAACTTATTAAGCAAGCGTGCTAGGTGGATGCGTTGGTTGGAGAGAACTGGGGTGGTTGGTAGTGTGGTGGTTGGAGGGAGGGGTGGTTAATTACCCAGGTCCCAAAATAGCTGGCGTATAACAAGACTAATTTCTAGCGAGTTGCAATGAAAACCATTTTATTGCGATCTTCTCCAAAGCCGTTTCTATTTTAGGGACAAGAGTGTTTAAAATCCCTTACTGTGATGTATGAATATTTTGTATATACGTCGATTACCGCACCTTGTGTGAAGTAGCATCTATACTTCGATGGTACATGGTAACTTAAGCAGAGAATGTCTCTGTACCATGTTGTCATCACTCTTTATAATATGAGGGGGGGGGGGGAAGTGGGGGATGTTGCGATAAAACAAACTACTAACGTATCACTAAATCTACAAAGATAATCTGCAGGTGGCACCGAGATTACGATTAAATTCTATGTAGTGATGAGATTCAAATCTTTATTTACCTTATTATTTATATTTACGTCGTTTGTTTAATGGTGAGTCATTATTCGGGACATTATAAGTTTAGTAAGGATTGTTTATTAGAATAAAGTTGAGGCGTAAGCGTGAACAATAATGAGTCAAGTACAATTTGTCTGGTGATGGTAGTCTAAGGGTCTTTATATCTTTGATGAGGAGACGGGGGTTATTATATTTTAATGGTAAACCTTGAATAATTACCCAAATTGTTCATAATAGCATGACTGCCAGCGTAAAATTTCAGATCTACTAAATGTCTACACATATGTGTAGATATATATATGGACTGGTAGTGGACACACGTGGGGTATGTGAACGAGTCTGTGTAACTATACTTAGTATCTGTCCCGTAAAAGCCCAAATGCCCTTTACAGTACAATTTATCCTTATGTTAAGGTGGAGTGGGGTCTCCAGTGGAGACTCCAAGATATATACAAGTGGAGATATCCAGTCAAGAAGTGGAGTCTTCTTGTGGATCATATGAAGATGGACAGTTGCCGGCAGCACCTAACTTAACCTGATCTAGACCCAACTATATACATAACATTCTGATTCGCTAGTAATGGTAATGTCTTCCCACAGTCATAATAACAGGATAAAAACCATCCTTGTGTATTGGTGATATTTATGTAAGGAAATTTACACCGGATCTTTCACACTCGTCTGAGTGCTTTCTCAAGGTCTGAGTGTGTGATTTGGACGAGACTTACATCTTAACGTCTAATGAGGTTGCCATCCATTGTTGTTGTTGTTTTTGATTCAGCTACTCAGAACCATAAGTTCCACGCGGCACGGGCTATAGTGAGCCCGTAAGTGGAGACTTTTTGGAGTCATTATCTTTATCAATATCTGATACTG